GGGGGGGGGGATTTAGTTTAGGAAGCCAAAAACTGATGTTTGGTTTCATCCCCCAGCAAGCTGGTAGCTGGCGAGTAGTTTGGCTTGGTGGAGTACTTCCGGTTAACAGTCCCACAACAGTCAACCAGAGAGACAGTCAACTAGAGAGACAGTCAACTAGAGACAGTCAACTAGAGAGACAGTCAACTAAAGAGACAGTCAACTAGAGACAGTCAACTAGAGACAGTCAACTAGAGAGACAGTCAACTAAAGAGACAGTCAACTAGAGACAGTCAACTAGAGACAGTCAACTAGAGAGACAGTCAACTAGAGACAGTCAACTAGAGACAGTCAACAGTCAACTAGAGACAGTCAACAGTCAACGAGAGATCTCTACATCTCAGTCCCAACAACACAGCTGACAAATTCAACACCCACCAGTCACATCCAAACCAGCAGAAACAATCACATTGAAAGCAGGCGACGCCACCTTCTTCATTCTGAAATATCTCGACTTCTATTCAAGACAGAAGGCATTTTTTTCACCGATAGCAAGACAACTGAACAAGCTTTAAGATGATACCAATAACTCCACATGCCCAAAAATTGACGAGCGTGAGCGCCTGATTCCACCGAGCGCCTGATTCCACCGCGTTGTGACACACACATATATTATTCTGGTCGACATGAAGCTCTGCCAAACTGGCATAAAATCAGAAGCAAACATTGGTAGAGGCTATCATGGGCAAAGACTGACTCTTGATTTGTTCTATACCTGGACTTCTGTCTGCTTTCATTCATCTTATTGGTGAAAAAGGTGTAGTTTTCCACGACTTTCAGTGAGTGTTTACTTTGCTCACCTGGCAGCCTTTTCGAGCTATACTTCAGAATGGCCTGACACTGACAGCTCTTGACTGAGGCATTCAGTCTGACAGCTCTGCTCTAAATCAATCCACCTCAAACACCGACACTCCACACTGCTCACCCTTATCACATTGGGGTTTAACGCCCCTTTCAAAACTGTCAGCTCATTTAGGAGGCAGGACCCCTGATGTCAACGTCCATCTCCGCTCAGATCCAAATACTCAAGCCAAGAGGGTGGATGGTTGGACAAATGTACCAAGAAACCAAATGTCCAGCACACCCTACTGGGGATTCCAACCTGGGCCCATCACACCATAGTTCAGTGTGATACCCCCGGAGTTTACAGTACAGCCCAGTCATTTCATTCAGTGTGGATCCAACCCTTCGCATTACAATATAACATATAACAATAATATATAACAATAACAACATCCATCAGAACAGTGCTCTCTACGTGACAAAACCATCATCACTTCTGTCAAGGAATCCAGGATCAACAAGATTTGGTTCCGCTGCATTTCTTTGGCACCACCCCTGGAGTCATCTTGTCTCCCTTGACAGTTGGGGAAAAAGCGACAGACATAATAATAACAAACACTCGCAGGAGAACATGGGTGGAAATGAAAATGAAACATTACTAGAAAGCTAACTTACTACTTTTGTTTGAACATCAGTAGCCATCATTTTTCTTGACCATTGATGTCGCCAACATAAACGCCTGACAAAAGATCTTACAACATTGTATTTTTCTCATGAAGGAATACAACAAAGTAACAACTCAACTCATAATACTGAACAATTTTCGAGAAATCCATGGCAAGCTGTTGACCAGTGCTGGGAAAAAATTTATGAACGTAAACAATTGTTTTCCTTTCATTTCAGCCTCTTCGACAGTGGTATAATGGGTTGTGTGTGCTGAAGAAAGATTAGGTCCAAAGTGAAATTCTCAATGTTGACAAAAGCTGGAAAAGACACAGAAACGACACACAGACACAGAAACGACCCAGAGTTGCTAAAAGAATCAAGTTCTTTTCTCCCTCTACTCTACTCCATTCTTTTGTCCCCCTGGGCTTAGGAAAGTGGAACAGCTTGCCAGCCATGTATCTCAACTGGACACAAACGGGGCCTACGACAATCAGAGACAAAAACAGCAGACATAGCAGTGGCATTAGTGGACAGTTGACCGCCGATGTCGGGCAAGTCTGGGGGGGGGGGGGGGTCCACACAGAGGTCCCGTGGGGTCACACAGAGGTCACGTGGGGCCACACAACAGGAGACTTCAAAGGAAAAACTTTTCAGTTTCGTAAACATTGAAATTACATCAGTGGATACAAATGACAAATGAGCAGAGAACGGGCTTCTTAGATTAAGACAACAGTTATCGTTTAATTATTCCACAGATATCCTAATTAATTTCTTTGGGGGAACACAGCAGATAGAGAGCTGTGGAAGCAGAGAGGTAGGCTACATAGCAGAGAGCAGATTCCTATATGGGAACCCTTCCTATATTTCCTTGTGAGTGTACAGTGCAGATTCCTATTTGGGAACCCTTCCTATATTTCCTTGTGAGAGCAGATTCCTATACGAGAACCCTTCCTATATTTCCTTGTGAGAGCAGATTCCTATACGGGAACCCTTCCTATATTTCCTTGTGAGAGCAGATTCCTATACGGGAACCCTTCCTATATTTTCTTGTGAGAGCAGATTCCTATACGGGAACCCTTCCTATATTTCTTGTGAGCCCACAGAGCAGGAACAAATGAGCAAGGGTTACCCGACACAAGTTACAGATACAAAAAGTTCCACAAGACTGTCGGTCATCCCCAGGCAGGGAGGCAAACCAGTGGCCAACATTTCCAGACTTGTCATTTCAGGGAACTCTATGGGTCCATTGACAGCAGAAACGGCTAGGAGAGAATTGAAAAGGGAGAATATATATATATCTCTTCTTCCAGCCTGGAACCACTGTAGAGAACATAACATGAAGTAAATCAAAACAGAACATGTCAGACCACACAGGTTTCTACTTTCCTCACTCCTTTGTGAATCATAAAATGTGTCTTGACAAAAACACCAAAAGTGTCCAACATTCAGAACACAGGGTGTAGGACAAGTGTCCAACATTCAGGACACAGGGTGTAGGACAAGTGTCCAACATTCAGGACACAGGGTGTAGGACAAGTGTCCAACATTCAGGACACAGGGTGTAGGACAAAATTGTCCAATATTCAGGACACAGGGTGTAGGACAAAATTGTCCAACATTTAGGACACAGGGTGTAGGACAAAGTGTCCAATATTCAGGACACAGGGTTTACGACAAGCCAGAGCACCAGATTTGACTGTGTACCCACACAACATAATACACAACGGGGAACTTCATTTTGAAGAATGAGCAAAAGTGTAACCAATTCAATATTTGAGCCGCTCATTTCAACGAAAAAGACAACAGTAGAAACAAAACACATTAAAAATTACCAGCCCAAGCTATACAAGATTATAATAAAAATGATTTGTCCAAATGTACACATTTTTGCATGACCACTGAGTGTATCCGTCTCTCTCTCTAAGAATGTGACTACTTATTTGTAAGTCTTTCATTCAGGTCTCAACTTGAATATGGACAACATAGTTATTTAGTACAACAGTTTTTTCTTACTAAACAGTACAGTGTGTGGCGGAGAGAAGCAATGTAGGAGTGTTCGCATGACCAAACACAAGTACAGGTGTTCCTGACACACACAGCCACCTTTCTCCCACCAAACACAAGTACAGGTGTTCCTTACACACACACACAGCCACCTTTCTCCCACCAAACACAAGTACAGGTGTTCCTGACACACACAGCCACCTGTCTCCCACCAAACACAAGTACAGGTGTTCCTGACACACACAGCCACCTTTCTCCTTTGACAACAATCTATATCTATATGTTATTGATTCTACTTTCTCCAATCTCACAATGATAACTGCCGGCATAATCTGTGCTGATGTTGGACAATACAAGACAATCAACCGACCAATGAACCGAGATGCACAGTGGGTAGGTGTGAGGTGGTAAGTGTGAGGTGGTAATGACACACATGTACACAACACGGCTGCTGCCCTGACAAAGAAGCTACACGCGTCAACTATGACATGTAACAACTACCGTGTATCTTTGTAACAGCGTGAAGTTGCCAGGTTTTTGTGCTGCATCTGTCTGTGCTATATCCCGGCAAGAACAAGCGCGCGGGCGCGCACACAACCACATAACAGCTGCACATTGACGCTCAAAGATGTCACAAAATCCACAAATACGACCGAGGTATCTCTTCTCATGACCTCAGTTATAAAGAAAAGGGAAACACTTGTTGCATCAACACAGGAAGATCTCCCTTCAACAATCAAGACACTTTGGACGATGCTATTCTTAAATCTTAAAGACAATATAATATCATTCTTATTTATGAAACACTGTCTTTGTTTTTGAGTGACATTTGACCAGACGTATCTCTCCAAGAAACATTACCAGACGTATCTCTCCAAGAAACATTAGCAGACTTATCTCTCAAAGAAACAGTAGACAAGAAGAGCTTTATTTTTATAACAACAAGGTAAGCCTTTTATTAAGCCACAGGGATAAGACAAAAAATGATTGAACTTTTCACAGTTAAGAACATTCCCACCATTCCTCAACTTAATTTTGCCGCCGTAATTTATTTTGAATATAATATACTTATTATGTTATACGTTATAAACAATGGACAGACAGAAAAGAAATTGTACAAGAAATTGCTGCCTTAAAATCCTCCAAACGGTTGGTGTTGACCAGAGGGGCGGACAAGTGGGAGATAATGCAGCACATTCAACAAAACACATTCCATCAAGTGTCCAGGGAGCAGCAGTGGCTGGGGAACTGTTGCTCCGGGCAAAAAGTAGCCCACTGTCTGGCAGAAAAGGTGAAAGAAAATGAAAAGCAGGGTGCTCGTGATTTGATTGAAAAAGAAACTGTTGCAAACACTCAGAAATTTCTTTTTTTGTCAACACACAGCGTTTTTGAGTAGGTGCAAGATAACTATTTACAGTACAAAACTTTCCTTTTTTCATACAAAACATGAAGATAAGACGCAACTCCTGATTGCAATGAATTTTGAAATTGCTTATATCATCCCCTGATTTCAGCAGACTGCTATTTATAGATTTACAACAATCAAACATGACAGTACATTCTCTCAGCTAGAAAAGTACCCTGTGCTGAGAGTACCTGACAGTACATTCTCACAGCTAGAAAAGTACCCTGTGCTGAGAGTACCTGACAGTACATTCTCACAGCTAGAAAAGTACCCTGTGCTGTGAGTACTGGAGTACCTGGTGTAGTATGACCACTAGCAGCAGGAGAGGAAACGAGGAACAAGTGAACATGTACATCTGGGGAATGAGTCAAGCAGTAACACTGGAACTTCTAGTGCTGGCAAAACTTGACACTCATCATTGGGAACTTTGCCGCACAAATCTCTTCCTTCCATGGAATGATCAACTCCAACAAACGGCGCGCTGCCCCGGGGGGGGGACACGGAGCACAGACCAATGGCAGGAACGGAACACAACGACGTACAAAATGTTCATAACCTAAACTGACACTGACACCCATAGATCCAACATTTCACAACTAAAGACTTGAGGTGAAATGAATAAAATTGATTTTTAAAATACATCAATCATTTGATATAATACAAAATAAAAAGAAATAAATTCATGCACTATTATTATTTTGCATGTACACACTTTATTGCCATATATATTCAATTTAAAACTCAAATAATATAGTCTTAATATATACACGTACTACTCATCTACTATGGCTTTAAGTAGCTCAAGATTGTTATTTGTGTATAGGTTTGGTAGAAGTAGAGATCCTTTACGTGACGTTATATGATGACTATTCATAGTAATATAATGCTTGCTTCAAACGCCCACACAAACGGTTCCTTATAGAATGTAAAACACATCTTTTTCTACCACGGGGACGTGCGAGATAAATAAAAAAGCTGTTGTTGTTTCACCTTGACCTCAGGGTAAAAAGTTGCTTGGCACTTGGGAAAGTGATAGTGTAAGTAAAACTAGTTCTACTGTCAGCGCACACCCAGGTGTAAGTTTGTTGTAGAGATCTGTAGCAATCTTACTTCTGTACACACTCACACACAGCCACCTCCGGCTTTTCTTTTCCTTCTTGCTTGGCTATCTCATTAGTAACTTCAGGACTTCCCATTACTCAAGCTCCAACAACTAGTTTGTAGACATGGCTCAAGTCCACAGTCCTGACCTTCTTAAGCTCTTTTACTTCACACACAAACATTTTCTTTGTATACGAAAGGAAATAACTGAAGAACTTAGACACTCATGGGTCTCAACTCCGCATCATTTCCACAAAACACCCACTATTATTGTACCGTTTAATCCTAGAATGCTGAAATAGAAGCCTGCCAGGAACTCCCCACCAATTTCAAGGAGGTTCGGACAATCTTTTTTAATTCACGGACATTTGGTCAAGAAAAGCATGCCGAAAGCCCATTTCCAATAGGCCTACACTTACTCACCAAAAGTAAATTTAGTTTCGATTTTCCAACCAAAATTTTTTTAATGTCCGATCCGCCGAAATTCCAGGAGTTTTCAAGGAGATTTTTCCTTGCATGCAAATTCCAGGAGTTTTCAAGGACTCCTTCTTGAATTCCAGGAGACCCCAGAAACCCTGTATAAGCCATCAATTTATCAAATCAAGCTTATTTCATATCAGTTTGAGGCTTTGGAAGATAATAAGTCAAAGAGTCACTTCCAACTATTTACAATCTTGATTATGTACAGGGAGTGGTGGCGCATAACTGGGTAGCGGAGGAAATGGCAGTAGCGGAAATCCCATAAGTAGCGGAACCTTGAGACCCATGAAACTACAGTATAGCTGACGTCACATACCACCATTTACACACATAAAACCTTTGGCTGGGACTGTCAGAATAGTGTCACCTTGGAATAGTTTGATCTGCAAGAGCAAACAGTCCCTTTACAAAATTGACCAGAGTTCAGGAAGCTTTCATAATTCTAAAGAAAAAGAAAACAAGTTTGAAAAAAAAGAACAATGGTACCAGCGCTATGCTCTAAGGAAGGGTCACCCCCCCCCCCCCAGCCACTGAACTCCTGCTCCGCACACAGCCCCCAGCTCATGTAACAGACAAACCTTACACCTAGACCCCCTGATGTAACAGACAAACCTTACACCTAGACCCCCTGATGTAACAGACAAACCTTACTCCTAGATCCCCTGATGTAACAGACAAACCTTACAGAGCACCTTGATCCCCTGATGGACAAAACGAGAGAAGGGACCCCAGCACCCAGCAAGATCTGCGTGAGGACTGGGAGATAACAACTTTATGACTTTACGACCACCATCCATCCATGACAGGGCACAAGATTCCAGCCAAACATGGTGTGGGAAAATACAGGAGGTTTTAGCCCAGTTTGGTAACAGACTCTGGTTCTGCTAAAATTGACCCAGGTGGTAATGACACACATGTACACAACA